TTTTTTCTCCCTAAAAGGATGTGAGCAGTTTAAGAAACGGTTATGTTTTGGTGATATTGCCTGCTTGTAGAAAACGGGAATGGGTTGTCTCCTTGTATTTTTATCTTTAGATGACGTTGTCAAAAGCTCTCACTATCGACAATCAGAATTTGACTGCGGGATTTCTCTCTGTCACCCTGTCTGTCTGTCTTAGGGTCTGCTTTCCTTTCTAAGTGCCCCACTGATTGGTGCTCTCTCTGATGTCTGGGGCAGGAAATCCTTCCTCCTCCTCACTGTCTTCTTCACATGTGCACCAATTCCCCTTATGAAGATCAGTCCATGGTGAGTTTACTCTTACTGTCACTGAGGGGTTCTGAGGAGAGGAACGAGCGTGAGGCTGAGCAATGGGGGATTTGCGGGTGTTGCGTTTGAGGGTGAGATGGAAGCATCCATCCAGTGAAGAAGGATGCTCAGCCTAGAGACTAATTTACTTGTCTGGTTCTGCTGGAGGGCTTGGTGTCAGGAAGGAGTCTGTCTCTCCTCTCCTGGTGTTCTCCTGGTAGGTGCGCTGTCGCTATTAGGACATGTTGATGTTTCCTTCTGGTGTGGGGAAAGTAAGTGAGAAAACTCCACGGGCCACCAGACTGAAGCTCGGTGTTCCTGGGCGCTTTCTGATGCAATGAAGTACGATGGACTGAAGGGAGGCTAAGGTGGTGATTCAGGAGCTGTGGACTACCGTGTGGTTGCTCTCTAACTCTGCCTCTGGCAATGCCTCTTGCAGGTGGTATTTTGCTGTCATTTCCATGTCTGGAGTCTTTGCTGTCACCTTTTCTGTGATTTTTGCCTACGTTGCTGATATCACGCAGGAGCACGAGCGCAGCACGGCGTATGGCTTGGTAAGGAGCTGAGTAACTGGCTTGTCTCTGGAAGAAGTATTTGGGGCTTTGCAGGCAGGAGAGGTATAAAATCAGAGTGGGAGATTCATTGACAGGCCTGAGGACAGCATCAACAAAAAGACGACGTGCGCTTCATCCAGTCGCCCTGTTCTGTTTGTGGAGTCGCGCTGCGGAGGGGACTGGTTCTGAATACCAGCTGTGGTGTTGCTTAGCCTTTAACCAGCCTGGTCTGGGAGCTGCTTTGCACCAGCAAAGCGGGCAGGCTGTGGTGCTGGTGTGCATACAGGTAGCCTGGGATCGTGCCCTTTCTGTAGGGTTACTGAAAGTGTCGTCTATGAATTGTTGGGGTAGCTTTAATTTCCCTTTGCTGGAGCTTAGCCTAGATTGCCCCAAGAGAGCATGTCATCGTTCTGTCTACAGGAGTCCCTGTCCACCTGGATTATCTCCATCAAAGGTGGCAAAGCTGGTGCCCTCGGGTGACTCTGGAGGAGAAAATGGGCTCTAGGAAGAAGAGGCTGTATTCATGTTTTATGCTTCCAGGTGTCAGCCACGTTTGCTGCTAGTCTGGTCACAAGCCCGGCAATCGGTGCGTACCTTTCCCAGGCCTACGGCGATACGCTGGTGGTTGTGCTAGCGTCGGGTGTTGCCTTGCTGGATATTGGTTTCATCCTGCTGGCTGTGCCAGAGTCTCTGCCGGAGGAGATGCGCCCGGTCTCTTGGGGAGCTCCAATCTCCTGGGAGCAAGCTGACCCATTTGCTGTAAGTAATCTTGCTGTGGTTTTTCCACGTGCTGGTAATGTTGGTTTTGGCTTTAGTTCTGCTGATTTCTCTCAAAAGGAAAGTGCATTCCACGGAAGCCGAAGGATGCAAGGCTTAGATTAACCCCGTTGAAGGTGCAGCGTTCAACTGGCGGCAGACTGCGCGTAGCTAAAGCTGTCCAGCAGCTTCTAGCCGATTTCGCAGAGCTACGTAACATCTAGAAGCAGCTGCAGACGTCCTGAAGCTGAGCATTTCTTGGCGGAAACATGCCAGTTGTTTGAATATAAATTCTGTTACTTGGCAATAGTGCTGTGTCAGGAGAGGTCTTTTGTGTTGCTGGCTTTTCAGGACTCTTGCTAATGATGATGAGCTTTGCACAGTTTCACCTCACCTTTGCTTGCTAGGAAGATGGTTTTGGCTGTCTGGGGAAAAACAGTTCTGATCAAAAGCATTTGACTATAAATCTGAGAAACTGAAAGGTAAAAATTGCTCTTTCTAGGGTGTAAGTTGGTGCAATTGTACGCCTGGTCTGGTGTGTTGTGGCAGTGTTTGCACCTTCCTCTGAAATGCTGGTCTGGTTTCGTTCAAGCATTCTCTTCTTAGCTAGTAGGTGGTGACTTAAGCACTTGGTTTTGCTGTCTCTGTGCCTGGAGAACATTTAATGATATTAACTCCTTTTAACTCCTTCCGCCCACCCCCTTGCCTACAGTCCTTGCGGAAAGTGGGTCAGGATTCTACAGTGCTGCTCATCTGTATCACCGTCTTTCTCTCCTACCTTCCCGAAGCCGGCCAGTACTCCAGCTTTTTCCTGTACCTGCGACAGGTCAGTCTCTTGCGACAAGGGAAGGCTCTGGTGGTGGGAAATCCCAGCCTGCAAATGTGATCTCACTTGCATGTCCTGAGGAAGCTAATCTTTGCCAGTAGATTAATAAAGTTAATAAAGTTGAAGCCATAAGAAATAGTGACATGTTCCAGCTTCCCACGGGAGCCTGGGGACCGCTCGGTAGGCGTTGCCGGGACCCTGGCTGGGATTTGTGCTGGTGGTCTGCCTGTCCATGCCACGCTCAGGCATTTAGGGTGATTTCAAGCTGTTTCTTCAGCCAGAGGAAAATCTTCTGTGTTACTCCTGTGGGAGCAGGGAGGTAGTGGAAGGTACGGCTGATGAAGTACCTGATAAGCAATGTCAGTAAACGCAAGTGAGACTGATGGAGCGGCTTCTCCTGTGTGCTACAGATCTGTTGCCTGAAAAGTCCCTCTGCTGTTTTCACAGGTCATTGGTTTTTCCTCAGAGACTGTGGCAGCCTTTATAGGTGTGGTTGGAATTCTCTCTATCCTGGCTCAGGTGAGAAGCAATTGCTGTCTTGGCTCTAGCAGTCTGGTTACAAGAACGTCCAAAATATCAGATAATGGGGGCTGGTGAGTTGTTGGCATCCCTGTGGCCGCCCAGACGTCGTCAGACCCGTGCACGGCTCCCTGTGGTCCCTCGTTCTTGTCTTTTGAATGTAGCCGTTGTTTGTTGAATAACAACCTGTGGTAAACTGTGGGGTGACCCCATGTTACTCTGTGAAACTCCGTAGGTTGTGCTCTGGCTGCCATGGGCAGGGATGTGCTGGTTCCTGACCCAGCATTACAAGGGTGGAGGAGTGCGTGTGCGTGATAGCCAGTCTCACAGCAGCACGAGTTCCTTCGGATTCCTGTCCTCTGGTTTTCCAGTGTTGTCAACTTTCTTTTCTTTGTTGTCTCTTACTATGGAAGCATCTATTTTTCTTTCCAGACAGTAGTGTTGGGAATTCTCATGCGTTCAATAGGAAATAAAAACACCATCCTTTTGGGACTAGGCTTCCAGATCCTGCAGCTTGCCTGGTACGGCTTCGGATCGCAGCCTTGGTAAGAGTTTGCCCACGTTTGCCTCGTGGTGTCGGCAGGTTTCTCCCTCCCTTGGCTCTGTGGCAGCTCCCTGTGCCTCGGCGGACGCAGGTCCTGCCCAGCCACGGTGCTGCTCTGGGCTGGCCCTCGGGCGCCCGCCCAGCTGCTGCCTCTTCCCCCAGGATGATGTGGGCAGCAGGCACCCCGACCAGCAGGGTGAGGCCCTCGGGGGCTGTCGGACGGGCGAGGTCATCGCGGCGGGGGCTCGAGCTGGCGCGCGGTGGAGGGGTGGGCAGGAGCGTCGGTGCCGACGGTGGAGCGTCGCTTTGTGCTCAGTAGTATTGGCACTCTTGCCTTTGACCATAGCTGATGCTTTGGGAGGGAATTCTTGAATTATGCACGTAGGTGTTCAGTGTTGCCCGTCTGAGGTGGAGGAGACTGCTGCTTCACGGTTCGCCTGCTTCGTGGCTTGGCCCTGAGTCCTCAGACTTGGCTGCCGTAAATTCTGGCTCAGTTGGCAATCGTTGCTTGATGTGCCCGTGCTCGTTTTATTCTCCAAAGCAAGCCCAGCATTACTGATTTTCTGTAAAACCTGATACTGAGCAAAGCTGATCACTGGCTTCATCTGCAGAGTGCGCGCCAGTCCAGATCGGAGTGTTTGATCCGGTCGAATAATCTCAATAAAATGGGTTTCTCCAGAAAGCTGTAAGCCTCTCTTGCTTTCCGTGCTCTGTCCCCAGGTGTGGTGCAGGGGATGATCACTGGCATTCGGGGTCTGTGTAACGGCCTGGGGCCGGCGCTCTATGGCTTTGTCTTCTATCTCTTCCACGTGGAGCTGAATGAAATGGCTGAGGTGGAAACTTTGGGTAAGGCCTCCAAACCCAACATGGCCAACCCTACAGATGAGGTAACTTGTTCAGCTTTATCATTCCCTGTGCGGGGCTGCCTCTGTCCTTGCACCTGAGCGATCATCGTTCCTCTGTTTCCCCCTGCAGAGCAGCATTATCCCAGGGCCTCCGTTCCTGTTTGGGGCCTGTTCTGTCCTGCTGTCGCTGCTGGTGGCCTTGTTCATTCCGGAACACAACCTTGCACTGAGATCCCCCAGCCACAAGAAGCACAGTAACGGAGCCCAGACCCACACCCACAGCCCGCAGGCCGGCGGATCGGACGGCAAGGAGCCCCTGCTCGAGGACAGCAGCGTGTGAGCTTGGCAGAGAAGGACCTGGCTTGTGCCCCGACGCCAGACCAGGGATGGACTTCGCCAGTGGGAGCCCGGGGAGCGCGACGGGGAGGAATGAGGTGACAGACTGTACTGCTAACAGCTGCTGAGAAGGGACAGGGTTTCCCTTCAAGCCAAATATACCCAGGTGGTGCAAAAATGGGATTGTGTCACCTGGTGCCGGTGGAGAGGGGAGATACCGAACTGCTCTGCTGAAGGGATAGTTCTTGGGGGCAAACCCGCCCTTGTACGTGGATTCTGAACGTCATGGTGTGACCTGCCAAACACTCGCCTCGCCAGTGAGTTCAGGGGCTGGCGTTGTCGTCGTTCTGGTGTGAACTGCGCTGCCAGCCGGGATAAACCGAGGCGTCTGCTACGTTCCCCACTCCCCTCACGCAGCTGGCACTCGCTGCTGGCCCCGTCGCAGCTGAACCTCGCCCGCGAGAGGCTGTGCTGCGCCGGGGCTGCAGCCCGTGCTGCGACACGCCGGGGAAAACGTGCCTGAAGAGCAGGGAGCGCAGACGGCTGCGAGCGGGTCCCTGCTGCTGGAGGGTCTGGTGGATTTGCCCTTTCTGGCCCGTGTGAAACTTAGACCCCCAAAAATCCACTAACTTTAGTGTTCTGAGAAGGTAAGAGAAGTGAAGGAGTGAAGTTGCAGCTGACACAGGGGAGAACGGGTGGATGAGAGAAGGGCAACGACGTGAAATACAAATGCTGAGATGGTCAACAACGTTTGTATTTCTGTTTGTTTTTTCTTGTTTTGTTACACTGATGTTTGTCTGGTGCTGCCTCCATCGGTGGTAGGTAAAAGGATTTTTCAGAAACCTTTTTCTGGAGCTGCAAGAGTTGTTTAGGAAAGAGTTCTCTGAGAGGTTGGAGAAACAACTAAACTCTGTTAAGTGCTTTGATAAAGCATGGTTTCCTGAGAGAAAGGTCAAAGAAATAGCTGTTTATCTTGAGCACTTCTATAAAGCATGTTGATTTTTCCCTAGGCTCTTGCCGTCTGATATTAAAACCGGATAATGACTGTAGCTTGTTTATTCTCGGTCCAAAAGATCCTGACGGTGATGATTGCAATTGATTTGAACTTACAGGTTTGGACTCCACGTAGCATTTGTGAGCCCGCTATGAAGGCTTTCGTTTTGTTGAAAAATGAAATTGCTGCTCCGCTGCAGGGTTCAGCTCTGTTTAGAAAGAGCAGCAGGTACTTGAACTTGGGTGTTGCGAAAGGAGCCAAGACAAGCGTGTAG